ATCATGCATTTTAGCCATGCCTCATTTCGCTCTATTTTGCTCTCCTCCACCCTGTCTCTGCATGCGCTGCAGCTTACCACGCCCCCCCTGCAAAGGAGGGGGCCGAATTACGAGCGTCGTGTTACCATGCTGTTACCATGCCACGGCAACCTCTCATTCCCCTGATAGGTCAGCTCCTCCGTCCTGACGTCAGAGAAATGTTCAAATCTGTATCAGTCTGTATCAGATCCGTTGCAGCCCCGTTTTTAGAGATTTGGGTATGGAAGAAAAGAGAGGGTTGTGTTTTCTGACACATATTCATGTATGAAAGACGTACAAAAGTGCATTTTGCATGATAGGTCCCCTTTAATATATCCCTATAGTTGAGTGAATGCAGAAATATTTTTTCAAAATCATTACATTTGTAAGTAACATTTTTTTTGTTCTTTTTCAGTTTCACCGATTTATTAAAATGAGTTGTAAACTAACTAAAATAAGTTGAGGTAAAAAACAAAATGTTCTATGTTGAAAAAGTATTTTTTTTAAAGTGGAATCTACTAACCCCATGAATCGTTTTTTAGAGTGCAGGCGGGATTTTAACTCGCAACCTTCCGATCATCAGCCCACCTCACTATCCATTAGACCACCAACATTTTTTTTTATGAGATCCATTTGTGGCAGACAATATTTAATTGTGGCGGCCAGCCACAAATAAATCAATGTATGGGAAACACTGCTGTGTACAGTACTGTATATATGTGAATATTACTGTGGCCGGCAGGTGCAAACGCGGAACAACGGCCAAAAACGCATACATAAGCAGGAAACAGCTGCAAATAATGAAATGAAAAACAAACAAACCCTGAAAATAAATACAACAAAAAAACGCTGCATTTACAGAAATGATGCAAACTAAATACAACACACAAACCCCGAAAACAAACGCAACAGAAAAACTCTGCAAATACAAAAACGATATGCAAAGTCAAAAACACATACAAACTCAAAAACACACAATGCTCCAGGCCTCTAGGGGGCGCGTTACGTGGAACAGATTGATGTCGGACCAGACATAGAGAGAACCAACGAGAGTGATGGAAATTGAAGCCGGAGGAAACAAAGTTGATCGAAGTGGACAAAGTCGATGTATAAGAAGGTAAGTTTTGTTTTGTTGTTATACAAAGAGCTTCATATTTACACAGCTAGCATTAGCGTCCCTACAGTAACTACTACACCAGCTGAGGAGAGGAGAGCTTCACCTGAAGAGAAGATAAAGTGAGGGAAGAACATTGTTAAAAGAGATGACAAATGGAGTGCAGGTAAATAACACGGGCCATAGTGAGTACCGCAGAAACATTTGAAGAGAGAGAGAGAGACATTCTTAGCAGTTTGTTTATATGTATGTATTTGTGTATAGATCATGTTGCAACTATACAGAGCTTTTGCAATACTATATGTAACTATGGTCAGTGGAGAAGTGATAAAATGTGAAGAGGGACGAAGTAATGACAGGAGAGTACTTTGCATTAGACATGCTCAAGAACAAATATAGAGAAGACATTCAAGGAGAGAGAGAGACAAAACACAGATTCAACGGTAAACATGATGTATCTTTCTATTTATTTAGCTAACCACTATTTAGACTATGTGTTTTTGATTGACTTGATTAAATGGATTTACTACATCAGGGGTGCCCAATCAGTCGATGGAGATTCCCAGTCGATCGCGAGATGTGTCTAAAAATAGAACAACAATATTCTGTTTTATCGTTAATGTCCTATATCATAATCTTCCTGTGCCAGAATAATGCACTTGAACGCATCAAAGCTTTGTGATTGGCGGGGGCGTGGCTGGTGGATAGTGGGCACTAGTTAGCTGACGTTGTCCGTGTCAACCAAGCCCCCAGGAAGTGCGCCGGACTCTGAGGAAAATATTCGTTGTGGCTAAACGGCGGTACTACACTTCCGTTAGGTTGCTGGGCCCGGAAACACTTTTTCCCATTGACTTACATTGGGAAAGAGTAGTCTGTAAATCGTTGGATAATTTTTTTTTTAAACTAAATAAACTACCCAGTATGAACGTTTGTATAGCCCTTATTAAAAACATTCGGTCCTCAAGTTGTAAAATGTGCTAATAACGTTATTCTGAGAGTTATTTCCCTCGGCATTATGAACGCGCATCCAACCCACGGGGCCGCGCCGCCCGGCACGTTCATGTTACGTGTTCAGCACTACATGCGTTTTACCTTTACCCATGGATGCACAATAAGAACGGACCATATCTCCTTACTGCCAGCCCACGGAGCTGTAATAATGGATATATTGCACATGTTTGCTGTAATTCATCATTTGTAAAATATTATACTACATGGGCTGTATGATGTAAATCTTGTACCGTAAATGTTGTATTAAACAAAGACTTAGTTAATATTACCGACGTAGATTAACGTCCCTGTAGCTTCTTATTGCACTTGCAATATAGCCTACCATTAAAGGAGTTGAACGTATAGCTGTTTGCTATTACTATATAATACCACGCAGGGATAAGCCAGAGCGTACAACCTTTGCATGTGGGCAAAACACGTTTTGACCATAGACTGTAGGGTTTTGACCCAGTTTGATTCATTCGCTATACCATATGATATCGCCCGGGGAAGTCGTCATACTTATACATATATCAATAAAGATATATGTGTCAAAGCTCTAATCAAATTAACAGTTGTATTAATTATAATTGTGTGTGTGTGTATATATATATATATATATATATATATATATATATATATATATATATATATATATATATATATATATACACACACACACACAAATGAACAACCTTTGTTGTCAAAAAACAAATAACAAGTTGTATTGTAGTGTTTATTTTAGTGTTGTTTTATGCTTATCCACATTTTGATTTCAGAGCACAGGACAGGAGAATGCTGGGCACAACATAAAGCTCAACAGTTCTCAGGCATTCCATAAGGAGGGTCAGGAACTCACGCTTGGGACCACCAGTGTCCACTCCATCCTCAGTTTGTCCCTCATCATCAGTGAACTCAACTGACATCTCATGAGAGGGATCGAATGAGGCACCTTTGAAGCCGCAGATTGCTCCATCCCATACATTGGCTCTATTAATATTGAACCTGCTCCAAGATGTATTTGTTTGTTTTTGCAGAGAGTTCTGCAACAATGTCCTCCACAGTCAGGTATTCTGTGCTGGGAAAGACACACTGATTTATTGTAATATTAAATGATGAAGCTAGTAATAAGATTTACAGTATAGAATAGAACAATTAAGTGGTAATAGTAACAATTCATACCTTTCCTCTGCAGTTTGCTCCATTTTGTCTTCTGGCTCAGACTGGCTATCAATAATGATAGGTGCATACACATTTGTGTAGTTGCTGCAGTGAGAAGACCGTTGAATAATTACTTTCAAATACATCATATATGCATGACAGTCATATTTACAAAAGGATGTCGATCCCCTCCTGTTTTTTTTTTAATACATTAGGTTCTAAAACTGACAACAGCACGTTTGGCATACTCCTGCACAATCCTTGTAAACATTTGAAATGGATGCAAGAAACAATATCTGATCTTTGAAAAATATTTGTGGGTGTTTTTTGTATCGTCTTCACTAAGATGTAAGATGTTGTGGGTGTCATTTGGAAATGTATAAAAGTGTAATTGTTCTGCTTCCTGGCCATGTTACCCACTGTGATTGGAGGCTATACAAACAAACAATTGTACAAATAAAGATACACACCAAACAACTGTGTCACGATGCAACTGTCAACCTCGTTTACCTAATAGAAGTGGTTCTGACCCGGGGCAGATTGGACCTCTTCCTGGAATGGGGTTGGTGCTCCATCCTATCTTTATAAGTGCAGTTGATCTAATGACAGTGTCATTAGCACACAAAGGTATTTATTGATTTCATGTTCACAAATTCTAACCTACATGGTATAATTACATTTAGCCTTACCCGATCAGACGCTGGTTGTGGGTGCCTGAGAGGTCTGATAAAGCTAAATAAAACATATATTCAAACTACTGTACTGTTAAAACATTCTGCTTCTTGTGGCACAACATAATATGTTGACAATGTTTTATTTTACCCTGGCAAACTGTTGTCAGTTGAGTGCTCACTTTTGGAACATTTGGAATGTCACACACCTGCATACACACAAATGACTGACTGAAATAAAATAAATTCACTTTAATTAAGGATAAATGCCACGATAAATCCAAACTGACCAAGGTACATTATATTGTTGAGTGTCCTTTAACTCTGACATTAGGATTTACATTGGGGCACAATAAACCAACTCCTCTCTGCACCTATACTATATCTATATGATGTCAAGAGTTACATTTAGGTGCACAATGCTGTCTCTTGACTTGCAAGCTCTTTTACCAAACAAGCTAACGCTAGCTGTGTAAATATGAAGCTCTTTGTATAACAACAAAACAAAACCTACCTTCTTATACATCGACTTTGTCCACTTCGATCAACTTTGTTTCCTCCGGCTTCAATTTCCATCACTCTCGTTGGTTCTCTCTATGTCTGGTCAGACATCAATCTGTTCCACGTAACGCGCCCCCTAGAGGCCTGGAGCATTGTGTGTTTTTGGGTTTGTGTGTGTTTTGGGGTTTGTATGTGTTTTTGACTTTGCATATCGTTTTTGACTTTGCAGCGTTTTTCTGTTGCGTTTGTTTTCGGGGTTTGTGTGTTGTATTTAGTTTGCATCATTTCTGTAAATGCAGCGTTTTTTTGTTGTATTTATTTTCAGGGTTTGTTTGTTTTTCATTTCATTATTTGCAGCTGTTTCCTGCTTATGTATGCGTTTTTGGCCGTTGTTCCACGTTTGCACCTGCCGGCCACCGTAGAATATACTGTATGCTGTGAATACATCATCAGTGTGTACATGTATGCAAACTTGGTAATTGTTGCAACATTTGTAAAGTTCTGACTAAAATAATAAAAATATATCCTCTTGAATTTTTTCCCAGCACACACACACACACACACACACACACACACTTACACTTACACTTACACTTACACTTACACTTAGATGATGGTGGACTCCACGTTTGCTCTAGTGGGGAAGAACCTTAGTGAAGCCATGAGGATCCTAGGGGACAGCCAGAGGTAAGATGAGACAATTTACAACTAGCAAAACATGTAAACCCCTTTTATGTCTGTCTTGTCTAGTTACTAACCAATAAACACATCTCTGTGTCTGTGCTCTGCTTCTGTTCAGAGGGACGGAGGCAGGACCAGAGAGGTGGCGCTTCAGAGCCAGCATCCCTGGACCCCTGCAGGGAGAGTAAGAGACACACACACACACACACTCTGTCAGGGACCAAGCAGTAAGGCAACAGGACACAGGAGTGGTTTAAATAAACTAGGTTTTTTTATTTACCCAAAAGTCCACAGAACACATCATCCATCAATCATTTCTAATAACTAGGACTATAAAAGAGGTCAACAGAAAATACCTCAAAGAAACATGCATCAACTTAAGAGGTGTTAACAAACTGACCTCCTACAATGAAAAACCAATGAACCTATATAGTGACTTGGCCAAACCAAGTTGAAACCAAGGGATAATTAATAGGAGGAGGAGGAGGCGTGTGGCGCAGTGGATAGAGCGTTGGTGTTCGGATCAAGGGAGCACAGGTTCAAACCCCACTGCAGTCAGCATGTCGTTGTGTCCCTGAGACACTTCACCCCAAATTGCTCCTGTGGGGATTGTCCACAGTATTGAGTATGTAAGTCGCTTTGGATAAAAGACTTACAAGTAAGATGTAATGTAATGTAATGCAATGTAGTAACAGAATACACAAAGGACACTGATAAAACCCAAATCCCCCCTTTGACATGGAAGCAGGTGGTTTGTCCCAATTGGCTCCTTGCAGTATTTATGAGTCCTCAGTGCTCGGCCACGCCCTTTGCTGAACCAGGAAGTAACCTCCCCCAATGGACATGGTAACTCAAGAGAAAAAGAAAGTAATTAATACAAACAAATACTTGTGTTAGCTGTGCTAAAATGTTTGAAGTAATGTCAGATTACAATCCAATAAAGAGTTTACCATTTAAAGCAAATGTGTGGTGTTAACTGGCATGTTTTATTGCAGCTGCACTGAAGCAAAACTACTGAAGGTGAGGGTGCAGTGTAGTTGGTTTACCCTGTGTGGCTGTAGCCCACACACACACACACACACACACACACACACACACACACACACACACACACACACACACACACACACTCTATTACTCCCTCTTTGATAAAAGATGATCAAATTATGAAAAGATAAAAACAGAGAGCTCAGCAGTTTTTAATCAGAATCAGAATTCCTTTATTAGTCCCACAGAGGGGAAATGTGCATTGTTACAGCAGGAAAGAGCCACAGACAGCTTAATGTTACATATGTTTTTAAAAAAGTACTAAGTTATGATACAATAAAAATATAATTAAAAAATTAAAAAAATACTTTTCAAATTACAAATCCTGTAACAGTTGGAATTTATAAGGAAGCAGGTTTTTTCTCACTTTGAAAGGTTATGCATTCATTATTTCATATTACAAAACGTGTTGGTCTAACAGTGGATTTCATTGAACTTACAATATAATTCAACGGAAACTTTCATCTGCATCACATTTTGTTACTACAATTCAAAGCACCATTAGCATTTCACTCTGTCACATCGAGGTCAGCAATGTTTACAGGACTACATCTCCTGCTCATTATTTAAAGCAGTGTTTCTCAACCTCTTTTGAGCCACAGTAAATGTTTTACATTTAAAAAATCCTGCGGCACTCCAACAACCCCAAAATGTTTGGAACAATTAACCTGGCGATCTCTCACGACACAGTAGTTGAAAATCACTGATTTAAAGGATGTATCACATTTAGTGAGAGTAGACTGCTGGCTGCAACGCTATCAACTGGTGAGGTTTTGTCCGTCATCTGGGACATTTTAAAACTGTTAAGCAGTACATTAAATCTAATAAAACTAACTAACAGTAGATGCAACTGAGAATCGGAAGCTCTCTTGGCAGTTTGAAGCTTACTCAGCTTATCTGCTCATTTGAATTGGTACATTGAATAAGAGGGGACACAATCAATGCACATTTTATACAACGTGAGGACAAAGCACGGAACTGTTTTGTTTTGTGAAAGTTACAGAAGCTTATCACTTGTTTCTTTGTGTCTCCTGTGCAGGGGTCAGGATGTTGCCACTGTGCTGCACCTAGTTCACAACCTCCTTCATGATGAGGAGGAGGATGAGGACAAGCCAAGCCAACAGTAAGCACAACTGAGAAATATCATAGTACTGTCAGTGGAAACAAGGAAGGAAATGCTGGGAGGAAAACTGTTAAAACTATAAATATTCAAGATGTAATGGTTTTATTATTACAATAGCTACAGTGTAATTGTTGGCAATAAACATCTGGAGGACTGGTTGTCAACGGTTCAACATACAATATACCTTAAACATTAAAGAAGAAAACACAAAAATATTGCAAGAAACACAATGATGAAGTAAACGGCAGGAATAAGTAAATAGGTCAAATGCAGGTAAAAGAGAATAAGATGAACAGAAAGTACACATAAATACTGTATAGTAAAATACAAATATAGTTTTTGGTAATAACATGTGAGTATGTGGACATGAATTAGCCATAAACAAATGAAGGTGAAGACACTTCACAGAGTATAGCTGGTTTATCTGAAAGCAGAGATCACACTCCTTATTTCCACACGTTATGATCAGAGGGATTAGACAGCTGTCAGTATGGGGTCATAACGCCGCTCTGCGATGTCTCCAGCAGGATGCAGAATGTTGGGGAGCAGGGTCACATGGCCCTGCTGGGTCACAGCCTGGCCGCCTACATCTCTGTGCTAGACAGAGAGAGACTGAGGAAGCTGACCACCCGGATCCTGTCCGACACCACGCTGTGGCTCTGCAGACTCTTCAGGTACGCCTGCTGTGGATGGAAAACACACTTCCGTTTTGTTCGGGTTGTGTTGATTATTACAAAGTAAAAAAAGTAGCAGCACAGTGTGTTTCTATCACAGCCATTGTAGATTGGTGAGGAATGAATCCTAAAACCCAGAAATGAGTTAGCATTTTACCACTTCCCATTCCCTCCTCAACGATTTGTGAACGTGTTTTTGGTTAGAAGCCTAAAATAAGATCTTTGGTTAACAGAAGCTGTGTTTTGTTTTGCAGCATACAATCAGTCCGTAACTATCCCACTGGTGAATGAATGAAGGTTCCATATCTCGTAAAAATGGTGTCCAAATGAGACTACTAAAAGTTCTCACACCAAACATTAGCCGCCTTTAGCTTAGCGGTGGTGAAGTGAAGTTGTGAAATGTGTGATTAGCGTTAGCGCTTAACCTCTGGTGATGAATTTATGTTTCAAAAATCCTAAAGTGGTGTTAATAACATCAAACAACAAATGTGTGAGTATCATAAACTTTTTAACCAAAGATTTTATTTTCTTCAATATTCCAAAATCCATTATATTATCACTGCACCGCTCCATAGTCCTCACACACACATGGCCGATACCAATAAGATAACTAATTATATTATATTTTAAAAAGAAGATCATAACCTGTAGTTAATGAGGTGGAGAAAGGTTAAGTTGTTAAGATTAATATCCAAAAGCTTGGACCTAACCATATCTCACTGACATCACTGTTATCAACACAACAAATACAAAGACTCTTCAAATGTTCATTTATGTTTCTAGCAAACTTGATCAAAAACTTGATCAAAAACTTCCTCTAATGTTAATTTCTGCTTATGTACTAATTCAATGTGTCCCTCAGCTATGAGAACGGCTCCGCCTACTTCCACGAGGATGACAGGGACGGCCTGGTGAAAGTGTGTCGGCTGGTCATCAACGCCCGCTATGAAGAGTATTCCTCTGAGGGATATGCAGTGCTCAGCTCCAAACAGCCAGTCATCTACCAGAGCGCCTCCGGGAGGCCCGGCCTGGGCCAGCATCTGTGCAGCCAGGTAGGGGGGGGGGGGGTTCAAGCCCCTGTGTGCCAGCATGGCATGTGAATATATCATGTTGGAGAGACCTATACTATCGCTTGGATCTGAAATAAAATATTCATATTTACGGGGCTTAAAAAGCTAGCGGTGCAAATAACAATTTAAATGTTATATTAAATTAGCTTCCCGTGCAACTTTATTTACAAACGCTCTTTTGGACAACATAACAATATTCTGCCAAAAGCAGACACACACTTTTATATGATATTACATTACATTACATTTAGCTGAGGCTTTTATCCAAAGCGACTTACAATAAGTGCATTCGACCAGGAAGATACAAACTTGAAGAAAACAGAATCATATAAGTACATTAGGTTTCATAGAGCCAAAACATTTCAAGTGCTACTCAACTGGCTTTAGATAAGCCAGTCCTTTGTTAGTATGTACAGTAAGTGCTTTGTTAGTATATAAGTTCTTAGTTAGTATATAAGTGCTTTGTTAGAAATTCTATCGCTCGAAGTGGAGTCGAAAGAGATGAGCTTTCAGTCTGCGCCGGAAGATGTGTAAGCTTTCTGCTGTCCTGATGTCAATGGGGAGCTCAAAAGTAAAAGTAGTCATTGTGCAGATTGATATTTCTCTTTTAATAAAAATATATAATTGTATTCCTCCAGTTTTGCGTAATTATTGCATATTTATATATACTTTTTAAGGTATTGTATAATAGAGATAAGATTGCATTTTTTCCAGCACAATAGAAAATGGTTGTAATGTCTCTGTGTCTTCAGCTGGGCCTGCCTCTCTCCAGCCTTTGCACAGTCCCATGTAATACCATCTTTGGATCCCAGCACCAAATGGTAGGAGAATCTGAATGAAGATCACTTTGAGAACACTCTTTCAGATAATAATGAATAAAACGTTTTGACTCGTATCCTGTTCCTCACTGTCAGGATGTGGCCCTGTTGGACAAACTGATCAAAGAGGACGTAGAAGCCGGGAAGCTTCCTCTGCTGCTGATCGCCAACGCAGGTGAAAGGAAACTACAGTTTAAACCCACTTATTTACTTTCCACTATATGCACAGGTGGTACACTATTGGAGGTGAACATCATCAGCAGATGAGTTGCTCATGAGACTTGTTGTGTGTTTTTCCCCCCAGGTACCCCGGGGGCAGGACATACAGACAAGCTGTCCCGACTGAGAGACCTATGTGATCAGTACAGCATGTGGCTGCATGTGGAGGGGTGGGTCAACTCCTTTTCTCTGTGTAATACATGATTGTGTTGTTGCTGCCCCAGTTTCCTGAAGAACTGCTCATCCAAACAACTTCACACATGGCGCTTCCTAAGGTCGTGAGCACGCATCTCCAAGTTGTGTCATTCTATTTCTATGCTGGGGCAGAAGTACTCAGATCTTGTACTTAAGTAAAAGTAGAAGTACAAATACTTCACATTCAAAAGGTTACTCAAGTAAAATTAGAAAAGTATTAGCATCAAAATATAGTTAAAGTACCAAAAGTAGTCATTGTCATTCATTGTGCAGATTGGTCCATTTCAGAATAATAGATATGATATGTTTTATAATGATTGATCATGAAAGTGTTCTCAAAGCTGGTAAAGGTGCAGCTAGTTTGAATGACTTTGTATACTGCAGGGTAGCTTGTGGATTTACTCCAGGTGGAACTAAAGTATTACAAATAATTAGTGGAGTAGAAACACATTATTTACCTCTGAATTCTACTAGAAGTACCAAGTAGCATAAAATGGAAACACTCAAGTAAAGTACAAGTATCTCAAAATTATATTTTAGTACAGTAGGCTACTTGTGGTACTACACCGATTTCCAAATAGGCGAGTGCTGTTGTTCCAGTATCTGATTGTGCATGCTGACTTCAGGGAAGTAAAGACTTCAGTCATTCTGTTCATAAATCCAGCATCCTTCAGCAAAACTGAACTGCAGTCAATGAGCGGGGGCCTGGAAAGACCTGGAAAGACCTGGAAAGACCTGCAAAGACCTGCAAAGACCTGCTGCAGATGACTCTGATTGCTGGCCCTGATCATTCTGTATAGTATGAAGTCCTTGTTCCGCTAGAGAAATATTAACCTTTATTATGTTATTGTGTTTTGTTCTCCAGGGTCAACCTGGCAACGCTGGCTCTGGGTCAGGCCTCCTCTGCCATCATGGTAATGTAAAAAATACTCCCGTCTACTTAAATGTGCATTCTAATCCAATACATGCTTAGTCGACCAATATTTCCTCACAATAGCTAGCTGTCTGTTCTGTGCGTGCGCTGAAAAGAAACAAGGTGTGTATATATATACAGTCCTGCCTCTGTAAATGGGAAAAAAATGAAGTTTCACAGAGATCCGGATTCTAAAATAGGCCAGTCTATTTATATTTTGCATGCGTAGTGTGCACAGTAATAGCTCGGTGTCTATATTTTTTAATGAATAACAGATTCACAAGAAATTACTGATGGCATTTATTTGTACCAGTACCAGCTGGTGGTTGCTTATTTTTGTTATCCCTTCCTAGCCTCTTGTAGTCCTTAGATGTTACCTTACCATTTTACACAAACTGTGGAAAAGTAGTATAATTGAACTATTGCTACCAACAGGCTAAAACGTGTATTGGAAGGCTGTTGGTCCAGTTGTTCCTTACATGAGTAGAAGCTGACATGAGGATTCTTTAGCTGGTGTAAACACATAAAGTGGATATCTTCCAAAGTCACACTGTTCCTATTGGAGATTGCACAGATTGCTTGCTGAACTGTGGCAAATGGACATGAAGCGAGGACTAGTTTATCATGACTTACTTTGGATATTACCAACTTGTTTTGACTCCTTTAAGCCTTATTAGCTCTGGCCCGACTCTGGGATGTATATATCATTTTAAAACCAAGACAGTGGGTATCGTCATTCCAACATGTTGAATTTCAAACAATAACATAAGAAACACCACCCAGCTCAGTAAGTAAGTAACACCAAAGTCATAAGTTAGAAAAAGCAATCAAATGAAGGTCAATTATGCTTGATAGTTGAATATGCTTTAAGAAAACAAACAGCCTCCTTCACAGCTCTCCAGAGGGTTTACTTTATTGTGTTACAAACAGTGTTGCAGCCCATCCCTTAAAACAAAAGCCTCAAATTGCTGATAATAAGGGGGAGATATGAAGGGGATATTTCAAGCTTTATCAACTAAGATTTGTGAGAAAATGTTTTCAACTTTAATTGACTGAATGTATTTGAAAAGTGGGCTTATTAACACATGAATACTACTGTGTGATATATGTTCATATATATGTTTAAGAAGTACAATATAGGAAAAGCTCAAGTTTCAGGTGTGGGACATGTTCCATTATACTTTTAGAATTTGATGAGGGCCAACTAAAAGTGGACAATCAGTCGGCGCCCCGGTTGTAGTTTGGACACCCCTGTTCTAGGTCATTCAAACAGCTAATAGAATATAATAGAATGGAAGGGATGAACCCCTCTGTAATGGTCTCACATGCAGAGCACACAGCACACCGTGACATGTGTTCTCTGCTTTGAACCCATCCTAGTACCAGGAGTCTAGTACTAGGAGCAGTGAGCAGCTATTGTACAGCGCCCGGGGGGCAATGGGAGTGTGGGGGGGTGTCCGGTGCCTTGCTCAAGGGCACCACGGCAGGGCCCAGGAGGTGAACTGGGACCTCTCCAAGTAGCAGTCCACACTCCATATTTAGGTCTGTTTGGGGACTTGAACCAGCGACCCTACGGCTCACAGTCCAAGCCCCTACTGACTGAGCCACTGCCTGATCATGGCCTGATCATGGCTGACACTAGGGCACTTCAGGGTAATTTCACTCAGTTAGAAACCTTCATAAGGAAAAAGAATATTCAACCGCAGCCACATACACCTTTGACACCTGCCAACTTCTGAGACAGCCCCCCCCCAAAGTATTTTTGGCTAACCTCATTTAGGTTGTATATGCCAGACAATACACACACGAAGAGAGCCATCTTACTTTCTCTTGTGACGTGTGTTTCTCTGTGTACTCTGACCTCCCCCCTGCAGGCAGCCACCAGGAGTGACAGTATGACTCTGACCCCAGGTCAGTGGCTGGGCCTGCCTGCTGTCACTGCTGTCACCCTCTACAGACATGAGGACCCAGCCATGGTACGCTCATATCACTTTCTACAGATGTTCCCGACACAGAGCCACCATGTTTCTGGATGTCCTCATGCTGCTGATCCTCGCTGAGGAAATGTTCAGCAATCGAACACACACTTGTTTAACCTTTCCCACAATTGTCACTATTTAAACTATCTATGTTCAGATTTTTCTCTTCAAATCATTACGTTTGGTTTTATTACATGTAATATACAGTACACTTTTCATAATTCTTTTATGTGTGCAGTTTACAGTTTTTACAATTAATAATGTTGCTACATGCTGCTACCTCATTACTTTTATATGTTTACTCACTTTTCTATAATGCTGCTTTTGATTATTAAAGAGGATGTGTCTTATTTGATTAGATATTGTTAACTGTGTGCTTAGTTCTTTATTTAATGTCAGTCTACTCATCTTATTCTTGTCTTCTTGCTGTAACACTGTTAGTGTCCCCACTGTGGGACAAATCAAGGATTTCTAATTCAGATTCTGATTGTTCTGTTCTATTCTCTGTTTGTGTCTGAATGACTTGCTGTGTGTCAGTCTCTGGCAGCAGGCCTGACCTCCAGCCAGCCGGTGGCCAGGCTACGGGCGCTGCCCCTCTGGCTCTCCCTGCAGCACCTCGGACACGATGGGATCGTCCACAAGATCAGACACGCCACTGCTCTGGTGAGCACCACTTCACTTCCCCTAAACCACAAACTGTCATTCCTAAATAACAATTTAGGGTAATAAAATCTGGATTTGAATATTGGCAGATATTAAATGTCATATTATGGAGTTTGCAATAAAATCTAATGATATACTCTAGATATGGTCAGTCAGTCATTTCACCTTTATTTCTCTCCCCTCTAGAGCCAGCACCTCCTGCAGAGGCTCAAAGCTCTGACCTCCATCAAAACATCGGTAGGTGCTCTCATAATGTTCTGCCATTAAAAAAAACTCAGGACTCCCATAATAATGGTCATCAAATGTATTGTGAGAACAGGGGTCACAGTCACAGAAAGCCCAATGCGAGTGACGATATAAATGAAATCAAATCTTTGCAGTTACTGTTTTGCAACCCAACACATAATATCCAAAAAACAATATTCCTGTGCCCCTATGACTTTGCAGTACAGTAAGAGTCCAACTGTATATTTCATAGTACTGCAGTCACATACTCTCAGTACTGACCTGCCTGGTTCTGATTACTGCTCCATACCTTGGATGGTTAGTCTTGAAGAAACAGGTCATCCTAACTAAAAATGAAGACGTTTTAGATATGCTAAAAAGTATAGATTAATAATTATATGAAGCTATTAAACCTACTATAAATGAAATGAAATCCAAACTGATTTTAATGGGAATATTATTTAGTAGAAGATAACTAAGAATATCTCACTCTTTATAAAAGCAGCTTAAAGAAATGATGTAGACGAAAACATGTATGGCAGCTGATCCAGTGAACTGAAGTAAGTTCCATGCTTCACATAGCCGGCTGGTGGCCAGTACATCATCATTTATGATATGATATTCTTATCACCCATTGGTGAAATTCCAACACTTATCAACATTGAAATGATGCCTAATGAAAGACAGCTCAGAGTCAACATCTCTACGTGTATTAATAAATAACATGTATAACTAATATCTCATGAAGAAATTACCTCCAGCTGTTCAAAAACCAAATGCCTTTGTGTTTGTAGGATGTGCTTCAGACAGAGATCTCTCTCCTTGAGGCTCTGACCATGGTAAAGCAGAGTAGTGATGATACTAACAGGCTCAGGGGGAGGCTTGTTCACTGGCATTCATACAGTCACCGACATGTAGTGTGATGTGAGTTCATGCCAGCAGAGGGGCTGGGGAAAGTAGTACTCTACATGAACACAAGTGTAACTTAAATGCAGTGAACAATCAGAGTGCTGGGGATCAGATCCATTACACAGGGGGACTCAAACTCAAACCAGTGGCTTGGAGAAAGAAGTGTGATTCTTGTCTGTGTGTGTGTGTATGGCGGTGGTTTTAGTCAGTGTGGGTTGCCTTGGTTCCAGGGCGTGGTGTCGCCGATCCCGCCCATCTCCGGGGCCTCACTGCGGGACGTTCTGGGCTCTCTCATGCTCTCTATTGTAGGTGGGACCAAGCCTCTGCCTGTCTTCCCCACTCCCCCCTTCCCCTTTTCCTCCATTCTCTTCCCTTTCTTACTTCCTGTCACTCCTGACCATTTTCCGTCATTCACATTAGCTCAGCGGTATTTGGGTCTCCATTGGCTGATGGACTGTTCACTTCTTCCTAATTGTTTAGGATGTGGACCACTCAGGCATGTTATATGAGGTACTTCAGAGAATGCCTCTCCACACTTGTTTTGTTGCCTTGGAAGAAATGCAAGGGTCATTCATAATTCATGAATGGGTCATGTGCTGTTGCATCTCATTACTTGATTTTGAATCCAACAAAAACAACCAGAGTAATCCATTTGACACCTATATTTTATACTTGATCCGACACCTATCATGTGAATGGATACATCACCTCACTAAAGAGCTGTAAAGTCCCTCCACTATGTGACTGACATTTAAATTCAGCCATAATGAGTCAGTTCTGTAGTACTGTGTAATGAGTTTTATTTGGACATGTAATCCTTGGCAGTAAGGGTTGTGTGTATTTCTTTGGTATCCAGAAGAACAGGCCCATAGCAGTGTTCTTAACGTAGTTTAAAGATAACAACTATTTAATGTTAACCAGTATCTACTATTGAACGAACATCAAATATGTTTGGATTGTCTTGACTATTGTGTGTTTAAGCTTTTTTGCTAAAGCTATACTTCTCCTTTATTTAAACAACACATGTTTGTAACATAGTGTTTGCTTTGACTTTCATTACACACGTAGAGGCCTCCCACGGGTAAACCTTTGTTTGCTCTGTTCTTGCTTAACAGATCTGTGTCTGCATTGCTGTCTCTTCTTCCTGCTTGGTTAAATACAGCATGTTGCTGCCTCAGAGGACACTGTGGAGCTGGTGACTTTTGCTCAACCCTCCAACAGTTTGTGTACTATAGCTAAACTAAATTATCAGTTGGCTTTACATCAACTATGTGACACAATGTGTCCTCTGTCCACATCATGGTGAACAGAATGCATCATAAAGAGGGGCAAGATATGATCATTTGATCAAAAGGAGCTTACTGCACACATTTGTGGGCAGTCTATCCTTAAGGCATTGAAGGGTTGCCCAACTTATTGCATGTTCTTGCAGTTATAGAAAGATGAAAAAGAGAGCAAATCAAATCCTGTAAAAGTTCACACCTAGAAAATATGTGCCTTGGGGTGAGTCCTCCATCGTAAAGGATGACTCAGACAGGAAGCAAGACCTGTGTATCACTTAACATTAGCATGCTACAGCTTTGAAACCTCCTGGGTGCAGCTATATTTGTCTCTTATTATGGATAAAACGTTTTAGAATATTCTTTCTGGTTTTCTAACTTGACAACCGCAGACATACTTGTGGATTATTCATGACTCTCACATGAACACCCAGACACACTAGCCTTCATCTCAGCCCCCCGCCAGGCATGATGTAACCCCGGTGATGTCCTCAGAAACATAGATGTGTCCAGGTGCTGCCTGCATCTGTGACCTATTGCATGGTGCATAGCCTTGCTTTGGAAATGTCTTTATTGATAATGGAGTAGTCTAAACGCCTAATGCCACATATTGATCAGTTCATACTTAAGGTATTTTAGTAAAATCTTGTGAACTGGAGCTGTAGCTGTGATGGTGGTTGCTCCACACCACTGAGAGGAAAGGACTCGGCCCATCTCTTCCATATTGACTTGTGTGTGACATTCAGTTACATAACATATCGCAATTCATTAGGCATGGACACAAAGCAACATCTGAAACGTTAACATCGCACCCTTCCAACTGAAGATCTTTGTTTTGCATGCCATACAGCAGATCACTGTTCAGTATGATGATAAGCATCCCTGTGTGACAGACGGCTGATGTGTGTCCTTGTGTGTCCAACAGGTGGAGGACGAACTCAGCTCTCCTGTGGTGCTCTTCAAGTTTTCACAGGACATGAGTGCTGGTGAGGGTCGCACAAACATGGCACTTTTGATAAAGACTGTTTGTCAATCAGTAATATAATAAAGGAAAGGAGCTCTATCTATGGTATACGTATTAAGTGTAAACTGGTAGATATGCTTCTGTGCCAACATGGCACCTTGACCTTTGACCCTCTTGTTTTTATATTCGCTGAACAAAGGATTGTGGGTCAGAATGGCCAGGAAAGCATTCTTGCTGCTCAAGTATGAACTGATTAGAATTTTGTGATCAAATGTCAAGGACAAGAAAATGTTTGCTAGATAATATACATAAAACATATGAATACACACTTATACTCACAGTCATAATTACATAATGAAAGCAGATTGCTAAGCGCTGCTTGTTTAAAAAAGAAAACGGCAGTAAGCAGACTGCATGCTTGAAATGCCCTGTCATCAGCAGGCCATCACATAATATCCAACAAAGGCAGAGGGAAACAAATAGGTATTCTTTCGGATCGGATGAAAATGTGTGTCAAATGCAAATTCACAATCAGAGAAAAGAGATACAAAAATAAATTCAGATTCACAAATCCCTGATCAAAGGTTGAGAATGTTAGAAAGATATTCACAAGCGCTTTTTAATTTCCTGTTCAATTTGATGTATTTGTAAATCTGTTTTTTATATTCCGGAAATCTTTTTTTGCACATGTGGAAAGTGTTTGTACATATACAGATTACTACGGTGGCCGGCAGGTGCAAACGCGGACCAACGGCCAAAAACGCATACATAAGCAGGAAACAGCTGCAAATAATGAAATGGAAAAACAAACAAACCCTGAAAATAAATACAACAAAAAAACGCTGCATTTACAGAAATGATGCAAACTAAATACAACACACAAACCCCGAAAACAAACGCAACAGAAAAACGCTGCAAATACAAAAACGATATGCAAAGTCAAAAACACATACAAACCCCAAAACACACAATGCCTCTAGGGGGCGCGTTACGTGGAACAGATTGATGTCTGACCAGACATAAAAGGCTTCCCAATTCTCTAATATCCCCTCCTCGATTCCTCGGTCCTCCGGTAGTGACCCGGAAATAGATTTCAGTGTGCCATGTTGAAGGACATCTAATTTCTCTAAATGCCCATCGAGGACCGAGCATCGAGCATCGAGGAGGCTCTCTGGAGGAGCTATAATCGAGGATACTCGGGGTGTTTCTCAATGTCGAGGAAGGCTGCTCCAGAGCCACTATTTCAAGCATACTACGTCATCGAGTGCCGCCGAAGTACTGTTCCAATGTCCAGCATACTTGGAATTCTACCGAGCCCGGCGTACTTCGTAGCGAGAAATTTCGAGGCTGCACATGTGACTCCGCTGTCTTAAAATCCCCACAATGCTTTGAGCACGGACCAATTTCCCCAAATCTGTGGCGGAAAATGTAAGGCGGGGCCTCTCATATGACGCACACCTGCACACTTGCTCGCCTGTTCCACTCTTTGTTTTCCAAATGCCAGGAAGTGTTCTTGCCTCGCTTCTAAAGCAAGTGACTCGGAAGACATGTGCTACCAAGCAAGCGTACTCAACATTAAGAAACACCCACTGATGGTTCCTACACGGCTCCTCCGTGGATGTATTTCCGGCAACAGTGATGTTTCAAAGAGTCGTGACGCACGGCCGGACTTATCTCAGCCAATGACAGCTCTGCATGCATACATTTTATCACTTCTCCACTGACCATAGTTACATATAGTATTGCAAAAGCTCTGTATAGTTGCAACATGATCTATACACAAATACATACATATAAACAAACTGCTAAGAATGTCTCTCTCTCTCTCTTCAAATGTTTCTGCGGTACTCACTATGGCCCGTGTTATTTACCTGCACTCCATTTGTCATCTCTTTTAACAATGTTCTTCCCTCACTTTATCTTCTCTTCAGGTGAAGCTCTCCTCTCCTCAGCTGGTGTAGTAGTTACTGTAGGGACGCTAACGCTAGCTGTGTAAATATGAAGCTCTTTGTATAACAACAAAACAAAACTTACCTTCTTATACATCGACTTTGTCCACTTCGATCAACTTTGTTTCCTCCGGCTTCAATTTCCATCACTCTCGTTGGTTCTCTCTATGTCTGGTCCGACATCAATCTGTTCCACGTAACGCGCCCCCTAGAGGCCTGGAGCATTGTGTGTTTTTGAGTTTGTATGTGTTTTTGACTTTGCATATCGTTTTTGTATTTGCAGAGTTTTTCTGTTGCGTTTGTTTTCGGGGTTTGTGTGTTGTATTTAGTTTGCATCATTTCTGTAAATGCAGCGTTTTTTTGTTGTATTTATTTTCAGGGTTTGTTTGTTTTTCATTTCATTATTTGCAGCTGTTTCCTGCTTATGTATGCGTTTTTGGCCGTTGTTCCGCGTTTGCACCTGCCGGCCACCGTAGATTACACATTTACGCACAGATTGTCGATTTCTGTTCACTCAAAATAATATTGTGGCAAATCTTGCTCCATATAATGAGATTTTGGAAAGATATGGATTTAAACTGTATGGGCAAGGCAGTTATTTGAGTTCTCAAACTAAAAGGGATTAGTGTAATGCCATATTATTAACTCAAAGGCCCACTTACTAGTTATCAACAGAGTCACATGTTCCCCATCAGCCGTGTCGTCATCCCATAAGCATGTTGGTTTCTGGAGGTTCTGTTGACCTAAGAGTGCAGCCCCTCCTCGTTCCGTGGTGCGGAGTAACCCTGAGACCTGCGGATAGAACATTTCAGGGGTTACTGAGATTGAACCAGGATAATAATGTCACTATGGAGCAACAAATATTTAAAGTACATTGTTGTATTCTTACTTTCCCTTTGTTCTATGTCGCTAGCATCCAGTGGGGGTTCAGTGGAAGGTTTCTGTGCGGGGGAGAAGGAGGTGCTCGATGCCTTCAACAGATGGGTGAGTTCTGTAGTACATAACCTGTTCTTTGTTCTGTGCCTATGCTATAATTTAGAGCTGCAATAAATAATATGTCAATAAAACTATAATGACTGAAGAAGTTCTTCACCTATTTAGAACATTGGGTAGTTGTGCACTTCAGGCTCTTGTGTCCAAAATAATAATTACAACAACAAACGCCCTAACAAAAAAAAATAGGAGACGTTGCAAACATTTTTCCAACTGTTCACAGAACAATCTTTCTCTAGAAAAAAGTGTTTCTTCTTAAAACTGAACTCTGAGCAACCCCACAGTTGATGTGTTTATTCTTCTGTGTGTAGTTAGGAGAAGAGCTGGTTCAGTGGGTCCCCTCCAGTGGAGTAGATGTGGTGGAGCTGGAGGACGAGGGCACATGTGTTCGCTTCAGCCCCCTCCTGACTGCTGCAGGTAGCCTCCACACACTCACACAGTGTCCTTGAGATATCTTAGATACTGTAATAAGGGTTAAACAACACCATGGTTCTCTGCCTGTGTCCAGTCCTGGGCACGCAGCAGGAGAACACAGAGGAGCTGGTGGAGAAGCTGTCGGAGCTGGTGCCTGCCATGTGCTCCACCATGAGCCTCAGACAGGACTTCAGAGAGGAGGTCCACCGACACTCGCCCTCGCTCACGTACCGAGAGCAGCTGAGCTGGCCCGGCCTCGGCGCTGTCCGGTAAGAGAGGAGGCTTTGAGGGCCTGCTGTCACATCACATTCATTAATCTGACGCTGATATCCAAAGCTACTCCAACAGGTGCCCCAACCCCAAATAGTGCAAAAATCAAGTGCATCAATTTATTTTCTTACATTCATATTACAAATATCATGAGAGGTGCTTAGTTACACAATTACATGTTTGACCTTAGATACATTAATTCATGTCTCTTCTGGACGTTATTAGGACAAACTTCTTCATTGGTAATAATAATCTTCGTATTATATAAACATGAGCATCACATTACCAGTAATGAACTAACCATACATTAACTGTAATATTAACCAGACAAGTGCAATTACAAGGAAAATTGTGTTACAACATATGTTAAATGTTCTTTAATATTTTCAGTGAAGCAGCCACAATATGCTGCTTTAGAAAGAAAAACAAAACTGTTGAATTATACTGTATACCTGCAATATCAAAATACTTATTAAATATTTCGTAATGTGTTGGATTTGAGAATTGATCTAGTCCTGTGACTGTTGTCGTGACATGTTGACCTATGGTACAAATACATGATTTCTGCCCGAAACGTATGAAAACGCCTCCTGGCCGCAGACAATAACCATAGAGGTATGGTTTGGATCATAATAGAGTGGTGCAGTGGTGACGTATATTTAGCGCCAACCCAGAAGTTAGCATCCCAAGGGCTCCGTCGACAAAAAGCAATGGGATTGTTCCAAAGAATTTTGGAATAAAAAAATAAGCTTTGTGGCAAACAAACATTTATGATACATTTTCACACCACTTTTTGATTTTTGAAGTGTAGATGAAATCTCAATAAGTGAGGCTATAAACAAACTACAGCACAGTCACATGACTTCACAACACCAGCGCTAAGCTAAGGGTGGCGAATGTTCAGCGTGATGTTGTTTAGTAGTCTCATTTAGACACTTGTTAGCAGCAGCTGTTTTATGACACATAGCAGCTTCAGACCTCCACCAATGGGGTATTTACTGACAGATTTGATGTGTGCGAAATAAATGTGAAAATCTCTTGTGTTAACCACAGACCTTATTTCAGTCAATATTCAATAGTAATTATGGAATTTACTACTGTCCTGCTGCAACTTCCTCATTGCTGTCATTTAATTGTTGTAATGTTGCTACTTACCTTTTTATACTTGGAATGTGTAATTATTATTTGATTTTACATTTTTTATATGAGTGCTCATTTTACTAAATACTGTTCTTATTTTGTCTCTATCATCATGTGAACGTCCCCTCTGTGTGACTCTGATTGCAATGTGCAGGTACGAGCCTCAGGCTGAGGGGATGGATGAGAGCAGGAGGGAGGAGGAGCTGCAGAAGATCAACAGTGAGCTGCTGAAGAAACTTCAAGAACTGGACTCCGACATCATCTTTTCCACTGGTGAGCACTCGCACATCTCAGAGGCCTGTGAGACGTACATGTTTCCGTGAAGTAAGATTGATTGGTTTGGTGTGTTCGTTTCCTGTCTCCTGTCCCCTCACAGGCCCTGAGTTTGGGACAGAGGAGGACTGTATCTTTGTTGGCATGGTGACCGAGGACGTGGATGTTTCAGAGTTGGTGGACACAGTAGCTGCCCTCGGGAGGGACATAGAGGAGAGTGGAAGGGTAACTGCTATAAATCTAAATGTATAGAATACTGGAAGGTTGCCGTAGTTGCAAAACATCTCATCAAAGATTAATAAATATTTGACGCTCTGCAGTAGCAAAATAACACAATAGGCGCTTTCACACCGGAGTACTTTTCCCCGTACTTTTCCCGTTTGGTTCCGATAGTTCCTGGGATTTTGTGTTCACACCAAAAAGAGAACTTAGTTCATGAGAACTTTTACCCCCTTTTTAGTGCCTGCTAGAGAGCAGGTACTTTCCTGGGGAGAAAAAAGTTCCAATTTCTGATTGGCTGGGCGGATTGTAAACCACGCCCCGTAAAACTCGGAAAGGTTTTTTGAAGCCGCCATTGTATTTGCTGACATTAGCATTATTAGCATTAGCATTAGCCCTGCGCACCAACGGAGAGAGAATAATATGGCAACACAAAAAAAAACATGGGAGCGGTGGAGTGATGAGGAGCTGTCGGCGTTCTGGCGATTTACTCAGAAGGCTTCAGTAGAAGCTGCTGGGAGTCCCAGCAGCTTCTACTGAAGCCAGTCCCCAGCCAGTCCCCAGCCAGTCCCCAGTCGGGAGGCAGTATACGCCGTGAAGTTGTTTGCGGCCTGCCAGTAAACCCAAAGCAGAAGAAGTGACGTCAGCGGCTTCATTTGCGTAATCTTCCCTCAGGGAACTTATTCCGGTGTGAACGCGATCGGCTCTTAGTTCCATGGGGGCACTAAGTGCTGGGAACTAAGTACGGCAAAGTACTTGGTGTGAAAGCGGCTAGTGACACCATCATTTTAAGAACTATTAAATACACAATCATTTTTGCTGTTGATTGAATCACATGATGATTGTGATGTATGGCGTGTTTACCCTGTGGCATATCATGTGTGTGACTTTTGTGATGTTTCCTGAAGCTGCTGGAGAACATGACGGAGGTGGTCAGGAAGGGCATCCTGGAGGCGGAACTGCAGCTGCAGAAGGCCAACGAGGAGAAACTCATGGAAGAGGTGTGTGCGCGCCTGCTGGTGCACGGATGTGTTGTTAGAATTAATGAGGAACTATTAAGCCTCCTGTCGTGTTCAGGTCAAATCTGACCGATTTACTGCTTTCATCAATCATAAATATTGTGTTTTACATCTGATTGTCTCAAGGCCTTATGATATCCTCCACAGTAGGGATTTGAACTTATAAACTTGCTGATCACCACTTTGATTGAATTTTGAGAGGTTTAGTCAACTTTGTTACTGTTCTCAGTCACAAATGAGCGCCATAGGAAATTCATGGTTAACCCTAGATTATCTCCAGATATCAAATGATACACCTACAAATCGACAACCATGTCAATGTGGAATACATTTTCAGTGTCTATTATTTGTATATTCGATGCAGTTATTCATGTAAACCAGTAGTTAAAGGGTGTTAAATAACATTCGGTGATGATTAACCAGTTAAACCCCCATTCCCCCGGTACCGGGGGCAAAACGCAACATCTTGCAAGAAACAGCGTCTGAGGACTTCTTAATATTTAATAAACTATGAATGTGTCATATCCACTTAACGGGAAGAAACTCAGCTATCAGACAATATTAACAATTTTTAGCTAAACGAAACACAAGGGTAATAACAAAGGCTCTGAATTAGCCCTGAGCAAAAATATGTTAACTCACGGTAGAATACCCTTATTACTTATCGGATCTGCACAAACAATATATCGATTAGCAAACTGAGATTCCACAGATTCCAGACATATAAGTATCATCACTGAGCGATCAGAACTCGCGGCATGGGAAACAAAACCAGACATCACACCACGTAGCTTTAGGTAGCAAACACGGCTAATTTGTCTTACTTTTTGCTGTTTCTGATCACAAGTTGTGTTCAATGGCATTAAAACGATAAAAACGCTGCTGAAGGTTAATCCATAGGTTAATCCAATGTGTCTGTGTCACTTTGAAATGATTACTGATAATCCATCTTCATATTTATGTCAATAACGGAGATTTCATATTAGCTGCTACGAGAATGTATGACAGCTTCCGGTATTGGGCATTCTGGCTACGCATCACTCATTCACCAATGACTAATGTTTAGATGGATTTTAGGAACTCCCCTCGATTCCATTGGCTCTAACGGTTAAAAAGAGGTTTCAATCATCAAAATTGAACGAGGGGGGCCATAGATATGGAAAATGCACCCAAATGACCCCAGAAGTGTTTTTTTTTTCTAAACCTCTCTAAAAAGGTCAAACTTCACTTGTTTTGCATCAATCTTGATACAGGGTACTTCTTATATGTTATAGTTTGGATTCCTAAAGCTTTTAGTCTACTATCCCATCATTCAAGGGTGGTTTTCAATATAAGTAATGTTTTTATTTTGACGGACACTATAATTTACATTTTTTTACTATGTTCAATCTGAATTTTCTTTAAAATAAAATAAATCAATATTGATTCTGACTTTTCTACATCCAACTCACAGGTTTATCATTGCTTTGAGAAAAAAGATTATTAATTTAACCCTTTTAGAAGGGAAGATATGGTCAATTGTTCTGGGAATGTCATTTTCGAGCCTGAGGCCTGAAAAACAGGCTCAGGGCTTAAGAGGTTAAGGGTTTTTGTGTTAATGTAAGAGTCAAATTTGACCGGGAACCCCAAGTAAGGTGGGAGAAACAAATACGACAGGAGGGTTAAATGACAAAGATGTTCTCCACTCCTTAAATGAGTAAGGATTCATACTTGGATAATAAAGAATTAGATCTGGGGTAAGAAAGGATTGCCTTCTTTGCCCTCTTGTTTAATTGATTGTGTGAGCGTGAACATGTAAGGATACACATATTTGTCTGTTTGTGTGCAGGGGGCTCTGAGACAGCTGCCTCTGGTGGGCTCCGTGTTAAACTGGTTCTCTCCATCCAAGAGTTCCATAAAGGGCCGCACCTTCAACCTGGCTGCAGGTACAGTGGGACTTATATTTATTACATGATCACAATGACGAGTGATGACAATGTCATATCAATCAAGGGATAAAGTGTAAACTCAATGTCTCGTGAATATTATTGTAGTTTTTCAAACTTCGACCCACACAGCGGTTTCATTGTATTTTTGGAAGTTGCCCACATTTATGAGTGGAGAGTTGTAAATCATGCATGTCTAAAATGTGTATATATATATTATATACCTATGTTAAATGTGCCACATTTTTGACATACATACTGAATAAACATGAATATTAATTGTCCTTTTAATTGATGTGTGTTGCTATATACAGGGCTGTAACCATAGCACTTCATCTCTTATAAAAGACAAGTATATACAGCGGGTAAAATAAGTATTGAGCATGTCACCATTTTTCTCAGTAAATATATTTCTAAAGGTGCTATTGACATTACATTTTCACCAGATATCGGTAACAACCCATGCAATCCACACATGCAAAGAAACCAAAACAAATACATTCAGAAATTAAGTTATGTGTAATAAAATGGAATGACACAGGGAAAAAGTATTGAACATGCTTACTGAAATGTATTTAATCCTTCGTACAAAAGCCTTTGTTGTAATGACAGCTTCAAGACGCCTCCTGTATGGAGGAACTCGTCTCATGTATTGCTCAGGTGGGATTTTGGCCCAATCTTCCACACACACAGTCTTCAAATCTTGAAGGTTCCGTGGGCCTTTTCTATTAACTCTGATCTTTAGTTCTTTCCATAGATTTTCTATTGGATTCAAGTCAGGTGATTGGCTGGGCCGTTCTATCAGCTTTACTTTCTTTCTCTGAAACCAATTGAGAGTTTCCTTGTCTGTGTGTTTGAGATCATCGTCTGGCTGAAATGTCCACACTCGTTTCACCTTCATCATCCTGGGAGATGGCAGCAGATTTGTATCAATAATGTCTCTTTTTCCATTCATCCGTCCTTCAATGATAAGAAGTTTGCCAGTGCCCTATGCTGAAAAACAGACCCCCACCACGATGTTCCCACCTCCAAACTTCTCCGTTGGTATGGTGTTTTTGGCGTGATGTGCAGTGCCATTTGACCTCCAAACATGGTGTGTTTTATGGCATCCAAAGAGTTCACTTTTGGACTCATCTGACCAGATTATATTCTCCCAGTATTTCACAGGTTTGTCTAAATGTCATGCAGCAAACCTTAAACGAGCTTCAACATGCCTTCTCTTCATCAATGGAGTCTTGTGTGGTGAGCGTGCATACAGGCCATGGCGGGTGGGTGCATTACTTATTGTTCTCTTTGAAACAATTGTACCTGCTAACTCCAGGTCTCGGATGCTCTCCGCAAGTGCTCCTTGGCTCTTGGACATCTCTTTTGATAATTATTTTCAATCCTCTGTCAGAAACCTTGCGAGGAGCACCTGGTCGTGGATGGTTTATGGTGAAACGATGTTCTGTTCACTTCCGGATTATGGCCCCAACAGTGCTCTCTGGAACATTCAGAAGTTCAGAAATCCTTCTGTAACCAATGCCATCAGTCAGAGATGGAGTACTCGAGTCCTGGACTCGGACTCGAGTCGGACTCCAGTGTCGATTTTCGGGACTCGTGACTCGACTCGGACTCGCGACTCGACTCGGACTCGCGCACTGATTGACGCGACTCGGACTTGGACTCGTGAATTCTCGCGCACGATGACTTGGACTCGGACTCGTGAATTCTGGCGTACGATGACTTGGACTCGGACTCGTGAATTTTTCCCCCCACGATGACTCGGACTCGACTTGTACATTGACGCTCCGACTTGGACTCGGACTCGAGCAAGTTTTCTATGGAGTCTGATGTCCTCTATCCCTGCGTGTGCACCTGCAAGGCGAGTTCACGTACTGGGCCCCGCTATTCCAGTCTAAAGATGTCTAGAGACACACCCCGCATCGTGCTGTATGCTTTCACACATTCTGCTTCCACATTGGAAAAGAGCAGCGCAAAATGCTCGTTATGTGGAAACAATATTGAAGAGAAGGCTCCGTAACACATTACTCTAAACATCGAGTTCAGACATATAGGCTGTCTTGAACACTATCATCAGAGTAACGTGATCTAATCAATAAATAAAGATTCAGCCGATAACACAAAAGCACATGGCTACTTAACATGCAGAATGAGTCATTTTGCATGCTAAGTAGCCATGTGCTTTCTGGGGCTAAATCTTCATCAGTAAACCGATTTAACCGGTAAAAGTTCCTTCAAAATAAGAGTCCCGATCTTATTACTATCAAAATAAAAGTGCAAAACGAAAACTTTACCATAGGAAAATATTGGCATACAAATATAATCACTTCTCTAAAAGGTAACTCATTTTAAATATAGTTAGACATATTATAGGTCATTTACAATAATAATAATAATATTAATATTAGTAATACGCTTTATATTTGTATAGCACCTATTACAAGAATTGTAGCCAAACTGGCTTCACAGCAGTTCAATAGACAGATTAGTATAACATGACAGGATAAAAGCAATGTGGAGGAGCAGCTACATTTCAACACATATATCCATGAAGATTAATACATGAAGACTTGTGACTCGGACTTGACTTGGACTCTTCTTAGGTGACTCGGACTTGGACTCGGACTCGAACACAGGTAATGCTGACTCGGACTCGGACTCGACTCGGACACTCGTTGGGTGACTCGGACTTGGACTCGGACTCGAACACAGGTAATGATGACTCGGACTCGGACTCGACTCGGACACTCCTTGGGTGACTCGGACTTGGACTCGGACTCGACTACGACTCTCCCTTGGTGACTCGGACTTGGACTCGGACTCGAAGAGTGGTGACTCAAGAGTGACTTGGACTCGTGAATTGGTGACTTGACTACAACACTGCCATCAGTGTGCTTTGTAACTATAAGGTTGCGAAGGTCTTGAGAGCGCTCTTTGCTTTTCCCCACCATGAGAGGTTTCTTGTGTGACTCCTTGATAATGAGACTTATTTTTGTAGGCCATCAGTTGGGACTGAACCAGCTGATATTAATTTGCCTCTTCAAGGGACAGGATTGCTTTCTGATTACTGATAGATTTCAGCTGGTGTCTTCGCTTTTGTCATGTGTTCAATACTTTTTCCCTGCGTCATTCCATTTTATTACACATAACTTAATTTCTGAACTTATTTGTTTTGGTTTCCTTGAATTGCATGGGCTGTTACCGACATCTGGTGATAATGTCATGTCAATAGCACCTTTAGAAATATATTTACTGAGAAAAAGGGTGACGTGTTCAATACTTATACCCGCTGTAAATGTTTGTGAGTATTGGTGGGTAACATGAAAGTAAATGGTGTGTGTCTGTAGGTTCCCTGGACTCCACAGAGGGGACTTACTCAAGCAAGGCTCAGGCGGGCAGGCAGTCCCAGCAGGAGACCCCCACCTCCTCCTCAAAGAAACACCCAGGTAGGACTGTCTTTCAGAGAGACTGAGCTCTGTCTGCACACATTTTAAACCAAGGTCTGCCAATTAAGAAAGAGACTATTTGCTCTTAGAGATCTATAGAGTTGCAAGGGGGAGACAGAGGAGAGGACATTGCCTGAATGTTTGACCGACTCAGGATTCAGAATGGCTTACTAGGCAGCGGTTTAGGCATATGGGCCGCCAGCTCTAACCACTGAGCTATCCAGCAGCCCATATTTTAAAATATTTTAAAGCAAAAGCAGCAAATCTACATAATAAAGAAGCTGAACTGTGAAATATTTCTGAACGAAAAACTTACCACATACAAACAGTAAGATATACATTCAACTTCATCATATTCATTCAAGAAGTGATTATTTTCATTTAAAAACAGTAAATTGGTAAGATCTTCATATGAAACATCGTAATATAAATTGTAAGGTTATTCAAATGTCTAGAAAAGTTGGACGTAGTCCCAGCCGTCTCTGTGAGGGTCACATGACATCATTTACACACTGCCCAGTGTTTTTTTCTTGAGTGTTTCTTCGCAGTTTACATTTTTGTGGTTTGTGTAGCCAATTGTAATTATCGTTGAATTTCCTGACACGTTCACTTCAAGAGCATTTGAGTATTTTGAACGGGGGGGAAATATACAGACATTAAGATTCGGAGTCTGATGAGTGCTTGAAAGTAAGTCAGTGAAGTCACGTGATTGGTTGCATTTGAAACATGGCGATTTACATCTAGTCACATCCCCAGCCACAGCCGTGGTCTTGACGGGTCTTTACATAACATCTTGATTCCTATAGGTCCGAGACTGAGACAAAACCGAGTAGAAATGCAGTCGATTCCGAGAAAAGACCGGTCTCGAGTATACTACAACACTACTAACTATACATCAATCTATGAAATAAGTAAAAAGTACAACATTTGTTTCCAAAATGTAGAGTATAGTAGAAGTATAAAGTAGTATAAAATGAAAAGTACAAGTACCTCAAATATGTAATTAGGTGCTATACTTGCGTAAATGTACTTAGTAACTTTCAATCTCTGTTGTATATTCTGTGTAGAAACATTTCCCTCCTGAAAAGGAGGAAAGGAACCTAATTTTCAAATTAGGAAGCAATCCTATATTTATTATTTCTAAATGTCACATGGTTTTCCTCCTTCTTTGCTTCAGGTTACCTAGGTGATGAAAGAGTTTGCGATTTAAAGTGTGACCCTGACATGAAACTAGTGGACAGTACTTTCCAGTAGCATAGGCAGAAATGTACTTTAGGATGGGCCTGTATAAAATAGGGTGGGCCAGCTTTTTCCAGGGGGAAAAATGACTTTAAGGTAGGCCTGGCCTATAATAATAACATATAATAATGCCCATTGCCAAGCATCGTTGTAGCATTTCCCTCCGAATAATGGTGGAAGACTTGACTGATGATATGAATTTATTGAAATCTCCGATATCAACGTAAGAGCTATAAAGACACAAAAATAACAAATACATTTAGGCTCCATCCGTATTAGAATCACTTTAGCATACTACCAAAAGTGAACTGTAAACAGACAGCAAAGCTACAAAACAGCATACAAACAAATTAGGACACAACCTACATGTTTATATTATAGTTAATACCAACTTTGTGCCTCTTTGGGGGGTGCTAAACTTAAACATAAACTTTATCCTTTACTTTCTCCGTCTTTATATGTAGATTAATCTCTGCTCCTTTTCTCCGTCACGTTGTTTCTATAGCAACAACGACTTCCTGTCAACAGCGTAAACTCGCCTTCAAAATAAAAGCATCTAAATAACACAGGAAGTTAACCTAAATTACATTTAAGACACATTTACAACTGCAACGAAAGTAACAAAAACAATGTAATATCCTTTTCAGTTTCACAGAACACAAATTGGGTTATTTACTCTTGTATTGCACTACGTAACAGCAACAATAGGTTGTAGCATTCAAACCTGCTCATGGACTTGCAGTGGTCCTCGCTTTTTTTATGTCTCTCCAACGACTTACGCAGGTGCTTCCAGTCTACATATCCCTCGTAAATGCACCTTCAGCTCCTGGGCTGGGGAAATGTCTGCACATTTTGCAGAAAAGCGCGTCCCTACTTGCGCTGTATTCCACCCAGGGAAAATCTCTATACCACCTCGATAAGAAGCACCTTGCTTTCCCATGATTTAGAGTGTAAGGGAACTTCTTCAATGTTGGCTGTGAAGGCGGTTCATCAATTGCAGACAGACCAGCGGGTACGCCTACACCTGCTTCATGCTGACGACCGGGAGCGGGAGGGAGCACTGCTAGCGCCGTGGAGCAAGCGGCCGTAACAGTCTCCAGACTAGTCGGAGAGCCTGGCCCTGGATCGCTGCTAGATGAGGGCAGTGGGGGCTCTTCTTGGAGTCTGGCTTTTTTCTTAAAACCAAAGTTCATTAGTGAACTTTGAGCCATCATTTGCAGGCAGCTCTCTGCGTCTCTCACGTTACTATGGCGCGCGCCGGAACCAACAACCAGTTTTTACCGTAAATGAGTTCGGTTCAGAGGATAAAACACATACAACATTAATTCAACTCGATATTTGTTCACTTGAATTTCACTTTGAATGCTTGGATATTCTCAATGGGTGAATACATTTTTTTATAATAATAATTAAAAAAAAATAAATTAAAAAAATTAAAAGTTACACCGAAGCTTTCTCAGGGTGGGCCAATGAGTAAACTGGGTGGGCCTGGGCCCACCCCTATGGTGGCTACGCCACTGGTACTTTCTCTCACTGACGGGGACTTCACTCTCACATTATACTCTTCCTGTCTTTCGATGTCCTCACAGGTCAGAGGTTATTCCGGCGCTCAGGGGGGGGCTCTGACTCCTTCAGTGAAACCAGCTCCATCGGACAAGCTGAGGAGACACCAAGGGAGGGGAGCAGCTCTCCGGGCATCCCCCCACCCTCCTCTCCCCCTGAGGAGGACTCACACTCTGCCGCTGATGCTGTGGTGGAGGAAACCCAGGAGCCTGCTGTGGAGGAGCACACACACGTGGAGGTGGAGGAGGAAGAGGAGGAGGAGGAGGAGGAGGAGAGGCAGCCTGAAGGCCAGGAGGCAGAGCAGAGCGGGAGATAGGTGTGTCCTCCAGCCGTCCTCTGAATGCTACCAGCCTAAGAGAGGTGTTCTTATGTTGTGAATCCAACTCTTCCAGTAGTGTGGGGACGCTGATGGAGCTGTTTGGTCTGTTTGTCAAAGGGGACGTCCACCCCTGATCTCTTCCGAGTGCATTCTAGTTTTTAGTCATTCCATATTTTACCTGCATTCTGAGGAATTTGTTTCCTATCATTTTCAGAATGCCTTTTAACCACTTAGTCTAATTGCCAGCAGTGAGAACCCTGAAATGTTGATTACCCCAAAGTTAAATGTATAGTAGGGTCCCCAGCACATAGAAACTGCTGGATGCTAACTTGCATATGTTGGGAAATTTGCATAATTATTACAAGTTGCATTAATTAACATTATTAAGCATATGCATTATTGAGGATTATTGAGGATGCTGAATTCATTTTCTGAAATGTTCAGGATCAACAATGGCAGTTTTGAGTCCCCTAAAACTTTTAAATCGACTCAAAATTCATCAAAATCAGCCCACCTGGGGTATAAATATGGCCACTATCTTTACCATTTTTTATCCTGAAAATGGCAGAAATGCATTCAGCATCCTCAATAACTCCGAAAACCACTCCAAAATGGTTCCATATGCCAATGAATGCAACTTGTGCTAATTGTGCAAATTGACCAACATATGGTTAGCAGGGTTAGCATCCGGCAGTTTCTGGGAAACTCTACATTTTTATCATAAAGCTTTGGGGTACTAAACATTCCCGGGTTCACTGTGGACTCTGAGCTCGCAACTAGACTTACTCCCATAAGTGAAAATAAGATGAATCATTAGCTTTCTTTCATACAAAAACATGAATTATTATACCCCTAGTGATGGAGTGAAATGAGTACCCCTGCCTCATCTCTGCGGGGTCTCCCCATGATTCCAGCTGCACATTGATGTTTAAGGATGTGAAACAAGAGTACACTAAACAACAGAGAAGTGTTTAGGGGGATCTTTCCCTTTCAGAGGGCCGTGCTGCCCAGCGGTGAGTTGTACACCCTGATCTCATCAGAGCAGCGGAGTAGCCACTGTAAATATTCTACACAGATGTTATATATTTAACCCAGGAAATGACTTACTATAATTATTTATAATCAAGTATAATGATCTATTTAATAAAACAAATGACCTGCTGATAGTAGCTGTAGCCTGCTCTCCAGCTTCAAACACTCCCTTCATGTTTGCACTGAAATAAATCTAAATAAGGATAAAGTCACAATGCCATGAACATAATGTTTTAATATCCTGAGGAAAAGTCAGAGTATTACAAAAACAAATATGTGATTGTACGATTACAAAATGATTTAACATATTAAGAAGGCAAAAAAGTACAGGCCTAAGAATGTGATAAAAGGCATATTATGAGACAACCTTTGAAAGTGGTAACTTCACAAGAAAACAAGTAATGATTTTATAGCAATAAAGACACATTTGTTAGAACGATTTACACAGGAGTAATAAAAATACTTTGTATCTTGGTACACTTTACATTTCTTCTCTGAATATTAAGACTTTGTTCCCATGATATGACTTCTTTAGTATATAAATTATTTTTGATTTTGTGACTTTTGCTGAAGTAATATGACTTAACTGTAATAATCTCAAGGTTGTGCACTAACAGTGGCCCTATAAACTGCAGCCACAGCTTTGTGGATCAAAATCAAATGCCCTTTGAAATTGCACATGCAGCCGGGTAGGAGTAATTATTTTTAATTTATATCTAAATGTATTGTTTGTGTCGATTATGGAACCTCAGCAACGTCCTCTCACAGGTTTATTTACTGTAGAGATATTTCTTTTTCGCCTAAAACATCCTGCCAGACCTGGGTCAAAGTCCTTCGTGTCCAGGGTTAGCATTTAAACATTTTCCAGTGCCATATCAAAGGGCCAAAGGTTTTTATTGTTTATTTGTTCTTTAGTTTGACCGTTCTGCTGGGCTTGGAGACACTAATGTCTCGTCTTTTGCACTAGTCCCTTTGACGTCTTTCGGTATAAATCATCACAGATAACATGCTGATGATGTTTTCATTTTTTTGGGTAGATCCTATCAGCTGTCAGTCGATTGTGAGAGAGATGTAGTGAAATCTGTGGCTGGCAATTCAAACTGTAGACTTCTCTGTGAGAACCAAAGACAGCCTGCTTCAAAAACTCTTACAGGGTCAGAAATGTACAAGCAAACTCTCAATGTGAGTGCTGCTACAACCAACTATTAACACCATGGTGTGACACAGGACAGACTGCCCACAGGACATTATAACTAATCGTAGGCCAGTGATGAATGAAGATAACTGGAAACTCTGCCGGCGGGCAGTTTTTCCAATGAAGGTTGCTCAGTGGTGGATGAAGCCGAAGTGTCCTGACTTTAATGCTTTAACTTTAACTAACAAATGCAAATGTACCTGGATCATTCATCACTAGCTCTTCCGCTGATCTTCCATTGGGCTCATAGAGCATTTTAAATTGCATAGTTTTGAAACCCCGCCTCCCAGCCTTAAGCCCCGCCTCCAACTGCAACATCCCGCCCACTCTCTGCTCAGTCTAATGAATTGAGAGGGAAAATAACTATGGATTCGGCTTTTAATGCTTTTTAAACATTAGGGACCTTTGCTTTTCATTGTTCATCGTGGGTACTAGATTTAGCTCAAAAGAGATATCCGCTGATTTACAGACACCTCTTTCCCAATGTAAGTCAGTTGGAAAAAGTTTGTTTGGGCAGAATGACGTCACAAACCGACACGAAAGTGTAGTACCCCCGTTTGGCAACTTCAAGAATTAGCTTGGTCTAGGGGCCTTAATGTGTCACCAATGGGTTTAGACATTGCTTTGGACATGAACATATGGGAAGTGTGTATGACGTCACACTTAACATGATAGCAACTTGTCTGAACCACGAGACTGTCGCCTGATATCTACTTTTGATGCAACGGGGATATTAAGCATTTTGGGATTGAATGAAGGTGAATGAGCCTTTATGGGTTTGGCAGAATGGTTTAGAATGTCTCTCATGAAGGTGTCAAAATTGAAAAAAAATGTTTTTAAATGTTTACTGTAAAGAGTTGTAAAATGTGGATTGAATACAGGTTTATGAGGGAATTAACAGTGAGGATAAATATTGCAAAATAATCTATTTCAGCGTAATTGCACTTGTTCTGTAGATAATTGATTTACTACTGTTCTTTATTTAATTAAGAACATGGTGTAAATGAAGCAGAATGTTGTTGATTATTTTTATGTGAATATAATGCAAAGCCAAATCAATACAACTTTTGATTTGATACAGTGAAATGTCCTGAACCGTCCTCTGTCACTGTCTGAGTTATTGATTACATTTGATTAGCAGAACATTTTATATCTTTACTTTACAATGCACAAACGCTTTGACATTTTGGATAAAGTCTGTCTCTCAACAGAATACATTCAAAGTTTTCTAGCCCACAGCTGTCTGTGGTTCAGTTAGATTTGTCAAATCAGCTCTGCTTATGTTTTTGAGTCTTCCTCTGTAATGATGGGAATTGATGCAGCTAGCATCTTGGTGGCTCAGTTGAGCAGTACATTCTTTAAGTCTGTATTTTTACATGAGACATAGGTTTCTGGCAGGTGTAGCAATAAACAAATGGTAACAAGATAAACAAAAACAATGCCAAAAAGGACATTTATGAAAAAAAATGAAAATTACAATATGGAAATGTTCTGTGTCTAAATGTGATTTAAGGCCTTGTAACAGAATTTGACAAATGACAAGAAAAAATTGTTGATACTTAAGTGTATCTATAAAGAGGATAGAAGGAGAATCCAAATTAATTTGAGTAATCTGTAGAATGAAAACGTAAAAACTAAAACTCTATTTGTTTGAGGCATGTTGGACTGAAATTAAATCTACATTTGTCACTTTCTTGCAAACTGCGGCCTTAACAACTGCAACAAAATAATAATAAACAGCAGTCTCACCAGTAAATAATAGAAGGAGAATAAGAGTCTTGAATGTCAATGGTTTAGGCTCTACTTAATTTGCATTGTGTTTTTTTATTTATTTGAAAATACATTAAAAGGATTAATTAATATTATTTGTGACTTGCAAAACAGTATCTGTTCTCACCTCCGTCAATATTATATTATGTTGTGGCAGTAATAATTACTTCATTTAATATTGTCAGAACTGGTAAGTAATTATTTGATCACTGTAATGCCTGCAGGCATATTTTAAACATTCTGAGATTGTTGTTATGTAAGCAACACAATGTGTTTCAGTTAATTTAACAGAAATAATCCCAGAGGATTCTTTGTATGGGAAAAGGTGTGTATCATATTTGTGGGGATTGAGGACATTCAACCAATATACTATGTTGATTTATTCGGTTTAGTTTGTAGGCCTATGTATGATTACAAAGCTGTGATACGCCTAATGTGCCCAAAGATAAAATGCATTAATGTGTGAAATGAAAGGAAATAAAAGGGATTGAATTCAGATAATTAACATTTTTTTATATTTTTGTGTTGAAAAGCCTAACATTTTTATTAAATCACAAGCTCTGTAAATTGCTGTTTTGGCGTGCTTTTTTGGGGTAGCGGAAAAACGTTTTGAATACTGATATTATTGTTACAGTAGTCGTGACCACAACGTTTGCAAATCCCAGAATATATAGGAATTTCACTGTGAAAAGTAACATTTGTCTCATCAATATAATCAATACATATTATATTTTAAGTTAATTACGTAAGCATAACATACAAGTGAAAATCGCAACGAATCGAATCTGCAGTTCTGAAAAAGGTCAGAAACTACTAACGTAAACGGACTATTACAAGTCTTTGGGGAACGTAGTTTTCTTGCCCCCAGGAGTCTTTCAAGGCAAACGTTTTCCGCTTTGAAAAAAGACTTCATATCCCAGGGTTCACTACGTGTAGCACGTCGATTGACGGGACGCATTAGCTCACGCGGACTGTCTCTGGGAGTGCTGAGTCGAATATCCTCTCTGGCGTCTCCCCGTTAGAAACCGGCTGCTTTATTCACCTGAATTGGAGACATAACATTACACTTGGAGTTGGGACGCTCTCAATTACTTCAAGGGGGGACCTTAACGCCGGGTTTTGGGCGGACACTTGTGTTGGCAAATAACTGCGTAACGTTAACTTAAATCTCACAGCTGTGAAAATCTAAGACCCACGATGGACCCGAGAGACACTGCCCCTGATTCCTGGGAACAAGAGGACGATGTGGAGGCCACAATCGACGGAACACTTGAAGAAGCATTCACAGCCTTTAATGTGAACGCTAAACCATTTGTGCCCAACGTGAATGCCGTCGAATTTGTTCCGACTTTTCCCATGAATGAACACTCGGAAAATCTCGATTCTGTCGGTAAGTTCACAGACACGTTGGGGGGCTACTTTAGCTAGCAGTTAGCTAGTTGCTAACAGGAGCCGGGGCTGGGTGGCTAGCTCACATGCGTTCTTGAAGCGCTACAAAAATAGCTAGCTTTTTGGTGTAGCAGTAATTAACATGATATACCTGACACTGCAACTTTAACTACAACGTATTAATTATGTACATGTTACTTAGGCGCTAGACTAAATCGTGTTGTTGTAACTTGTAGAGCCCTGTCAAAGCAGTTTTAAAAGTAATCAACCCAGCCGGCATTAGCATGCTACAACAAACCGGCGCTATCTAGCATGTTGGTTAGCTGCTGTGGTTTCTCAGTTGAGTCTTTGCCTTTTTAGATTTGTTACCATTTATTCGAAAAAGTAAATGGAACCAAACAAAATGAGCGGCTGGCAAACAGCAATGTTTTCATTTAGAAAAGCACAGTTTCACCTGAAAACTAAAGCTAAGCGCTTGATTGGAAATAAAATAATGGAAACGTGAGTGTTAGTTGTGACGTGGATTTTCTGACGCACTGCCGGTACAGAGGAGTAACATGTGTCATAGGTCGGAAACCGCGTGAAGGCACTTCTGATCGCAGCAGTTTCATCCCTGTATCAGTGGTGGAGCAGGGTTTGAGATCCTTTACTCGAGTAAAAGTACCAATACATTATTGTCAAAATACTTAATTACAATTAAAAGTCCTGCATTCAAACTCGTACTCTACTCTATACTTTTACTTTTTAATACTCAAGTAAAGTACCTCAAAATTGTACTTAAGTACAGTATTTGAGTAAATGTACTTCCCACCTCACACTATTCCTGGATCATTTTACAAAAGAATGTGTGTGCACCTACATAAGGATGGACTTGGCAAGAGGATTTGTCAATGTTCTCCACATTTATCTTACTTTTTCTCCTGCCTGAATTTAAGGTGGCCTCTGGTAGTGAAAGCTGCTTGGAACATGGCGAAACAAACTTGTTTTAGTCAGTCGGTTTAGATATTCCTTGTGTTCCCACACTTTTCCTAAAACTACAAGAACAGGTCATGCTCCTTTTTTAAGATCACCTGAAAGATTAACCTATACATTTTTTCTGTTTCAGTTGCTGTGGAGAAGATATCCTCAATGGACGTGTTGGAAAGTGCTGGTATGTGTGCAGTGTTTGTTTAGTGTTGAGAATCTCTGTGCTGTTACTGCTCACCTCATTGTCCGGACATGTGCACACTGAATGCATGGATTAGCTTAACGTGCCTTTGGCTTTATGGGTAACTGAGACCAAAATACAGAAGTTGACTGTGCCTTGTCTATTTATTCCTCCTTTTTAATATTTTAGCAGTATAGACTACATCTATATCCTGCACAAGGTGCCTTCTTGCAGATTAAGGCGCCGTTTACACGAGGAGAAAACTGCTTGTATCTGCATAGTTTCGCGTGCGTATAGCCCTATTATTTACACGAGGCCGATAGAAACTGACCCCACAAACGATAACGGGGTCCCAAGGTGGATAGATTTGCAAACGAAACGCTCTGGGGGGTCAACCGAGTCCGTGTAATCACCTCTATACGAATATTTCCTGAAAAAATAGCGATAGCCCCGCCTCTCCTGCTCACTGCTGTAGCAACTATCAAAAATAGCTGTGTTAATTAAACGCACAAGGGGTTCTTGAATGAAATAATATTATAAAAGGCAAACCAGAATTGTTAACGCCCAATATACTCCTTAAACAAAATAAACAGAGTCAGATTTCATGCATTGATCCATTATATTGACAAAGGAGGATCTCACCCGGTGTTTGTAGAGAATATCTCTCTTTCTGAGAAACATTTACATTTTACATTTAAATCCCGCTCATGCGCAATTCATTTGCCGTCTCGACGCGGGAGAGTGTGGCTGTCTCCTCTCTGCTCTGACTGCAGCTGAGCTGCTGCGGGGTGAGCGCCTGTGAGTACTATGGGAGGGCAGAGGGGCTCACGGCAGCACCCGCGGCTCGTTAACTGCTGAACAATATGTGAGTCTCCAAACACCAGAAAAGTCCCTAATAACACCATTACAAGTCGTTAAATTAGTCGTTAGTCGCTTTTGACAAAAATAAGTAGCCGGAGGGTTTGGAAAGCTGCCGAATTTAACGAGAAAGTCGCCAAGTTGGCAACACTGGAAGGGTAGCCATGGCAACATTGTTGCGCGGCTGCTTCTGGGTCTTCTTCTGCTGCTTTTGGTGTATTTTGGCGGAAGTTACAGCGCCACTTACGGGCACGGCATATGTACTACAGCGTTTCCAGCGGCCTCGTTTGAACAGACACGTTAAATGAAACTAATGCATGTGAACGGAAGACTTTTTTGAATACGCATACTGTGCATAAACGCAAACGGTCCCGTGTGAGCGGGGCCTAAGATTGAGCTCACAGTGTTTGCCCTGAATAGTGAGTTTAGTTGTAGATTAGCACATGTTTGTTTTGTCTCTGCATCTTGCTCTGACACATTTACAGGAACTATTATCACTTTGAACTAGGGATGGGAATTTGAAAGCAAATGTATATACCCCCCAAAAAACGGTTAACCGAAATGTACATATCCTATAATTTAAAAAAATTGTGTGAAAAAAAAATGTTAGACATTTTTTTTATAAACATTTTTTTTCAATAAGTTTTGGAAATAAATAAATACATGTTCAAATAAGTATAGAAACCAAGTCGAATTTGTCAAATGTATTGAACTGGTGATCACAGTTTGACAGCTATAGGCCTACAGCTTTCATGTGCGGAGGCGATTCACAATCAGGCCAGCTGTAGAGAAGACCCTCTCAGCTGGAACGGAGGTTGCGGGTATAGCAAGGTATAGTATGTATATATGAGTTTAATTTGGCATAGTTTGCACTCTACACCGCACTCTCTAACCTGGTCGAAATATTTCCACACATTACTCCTTTTTGACGCCATGTCTGTGTAGGACTCTTCTTAGAGTGTAATTAATTACCTGACTATGACTGGTAAAATATGTTGAATACCGGCAAAACTAAATCTCTCCTGTCAAAATGTCTATGTACTTTGCCGCCACACACGGTTGCCAAGCAGTGCTTATTGTTGTTTAGGCTGGCCACTCATGTGTCGCGAGTGTTGACAGGGGGCGGGGGAGCACGCTCATGAACTGTTAGCGCCGGAACCTCGCAACGGCTGCGGAGCGCATTTGCGCCGCATTTGGGCATAAGATGAGGTTTGAGTCTGCGTGATCTGCGTGTAGGGAGGGGCAGCAGCCATATCATTAGCTAGAACTAGCTAGATCTGATGGATTTGGACATAAACGCGAGTGAAGTATAACCGGACGCGAGAGAGAGAGAGAGATCAGCACCTGCAGCTCTGCCCGCTGTGAGGCACCGGTGAGCGGAGCAAAACACACCTTTTGACATCACCTAACACATTTAGCTATGGCACTGTCGTATACATTGAATTATTCAATTTGATAATATGTAATCAATTTAGGCATCCCTCCCAAAAAAAAAAACCTGAATAATTATTCGAATACCTGAATAATTTCGATTAATCGTTCCCATCCCTACTTTGAACACACATGGCCATATTTCAGTGGCCGATCCAGCATACTTAATCAGTTGAGATGCTATTTGTTATGATATGTGCTTCTTTTAGTGCTTTTACAAGTGAGCTCCTTCAAAGGGTATTTATTTTCCTTCGATGATGTTAATAGTTACACAAATAGTTGTAAACTAACATTGATTACATTACCTTATCATACATACAGCAGCTCTGATACCATTGTTATTGAGGCATTTAAATGTGCAGTCTTTCAATTAACGGCTGTGCTATTTGCTTTACACTAGTAGGGCAGCTCAATTAATCGTATTTTAATCGCAATTACGATTATGGCTTGCAACGATTACGAAAACAACGTAATCGAAATAAAACGATTATTTTTTTATTATTACATTTTCTTTTCATTTTTCAAATGAATTTTCTTTTTATTGGTTTTTCAGTTGAATTATACTTAAAGTTCAGGGTAATCAACTGTTAAAAACATACTGTTCAACATTTTTTTTCTCCAATAAATTGATATTTTCAAAGTAAATGGATAATCGTTTTTAATAATCGTGATATCAATTATTGACCCAAATAATCGAGATTATGATTTTTGCCATAATCGAACAGCCCTACACTGTAGTGGA